CAGAGAGCCACGTGAGCCAGGAACACGGGAGAAGCACAGTCTCGTGAGGCGTCGGCATCTGGGAAATCCACCTTCACCAGGACCCACGAAGGGGACAGGTGATCCATATGGCAGAAGGTGATCCTGGGAGGCAGGAGGGACTGAACCACAAAGGACCTCTGAGCTAGAACAAAGCTTGAATGTGTTGCTGGCTCACTGTTCTGGGGGCTGGGAGTCCAAAGTCAAGGTGTCACATTGTTGTCTTCTCTGTGTGCATGTCTCTCTCTGTGACTAAATTTTTCTTTTTTAAAAATAAAGTTTGTTTATTTATTTTGAGAGAGAGAGAGAGAGTGAGGGACAGCATGGTGGGGGGGGGGCGCAGAGAGCAAGGGAGAGAGAGAATCCCAAGCAGGCTCCATGCCGTCAATGCAGAGCCTGATGCAGGGCTTGAATTCACCAACTGTGAGATCATGACCTGAGGCGAAATTAAGAGTCGGACTGAGCCCCCCAGGAGCCCCCCATTTTCCCCTTGTTTATAAGGACACCAGTCATGTTGGATTAGGCCCATCTTAATGACCTCACCTTAGCTTGATCTGCAAAGACTCTATCTCCAAATAAGGTTACAGTGGCAGGTACTAGGGGTTAGATTCAGCATGTCTTTTCAGGGGGTACACCTCAGCCCAGAGCAGCCTTGGATGCGGTGGAGGAAGTTCATTGGCTGTCGGATCCACATGGGGCGCTGCACTCAAAGGACAGCACCTCCCCCTCTGGAGGGTGTGTTGGAGGGGGAGGGGCAGGGCTAGGACCCAAGGGGGAGCCGAGGGGGGCACGGAGGGCGCCGTCGGCACGCACACTGCCAGGCCCGTGCCTCCCCTCAGGGCCCTCACACCCAAGGCCGGATGTCCCAACCCACGTGCACCAGCTTTGTTTCTTGACTTAAGTAGGGTAAGATACACAGGACAAATAGAAAGCATTTCTAAAATAAGAAATCTCACCCGGCCCCTGGGGGGCTCAGTGGGTTAAGCGTCTGACTCTTGATTTCAGCTCAGGTCAGGGATCTCCTGGTTCGTGGGATCGAGCCTTG